TTCACATATGTGCAGGGCTTCTTGACCAAACATTCATATGTGGTCCAGCCCTTCCTGAACTGCACTGTCTTCCTGAGAGCACTTCCTCTGCCTTCCATCCAGCCCGGTTCCTGACTCCCATCCCAACTTGACTCAGCCAGCTCTGGGAGCACAGGCTTCCTTCCCTGCCACACCCAGCCTCCTGAGAGTCCTCAAGTTTATAGCTGCCTTTTGATGTCCCTTCTCAGCTAGAGTCCCCAGGGAAATCACCAGCCAGGAGGTGATGATTTTGAAACCAGTTCTAAATAAGTAAATAGATCTCAAGTGTTTTTTCTAGACATGGGCAGTGTGCAAGAACTGGGCAGGTTAGCTTGTGTAGGTGGCAGCTGTCTGTCCACATCTTTATTGAACACTGCTGCTTGTCCTCATGACTGGGCTTGGGATTAGGTTTGATGTGAAGAGATAAATTGACTTTTTGTGGACTGCTTGGGAACTTAACCTCTCTTTACAGCGAGAAAGGATTCCTGAGCTCTAAATAGCTGACTTACTAATGAGCCCTGGGATACCTCAGGGACTATCTCCTGTATTTATTCTGTTTTATATGCAATGACTTATCTCCATAAAAGATTTACCTCCTTCAGTGTAGAGGCTGTTTCTCGTACATTTGCTAATAGCATCTCCCTTCCCCCAGCACTGGGCATGGCCCTGAACTGACAGGGTTTTGCACATACATTAATTTAAGCTGGGTTGTGTGCCTCCTGTACTAATATCTAGGAACTTCAGAAGAATGAAAGTCTGGAGTTGGTGCCAAGGCTGCCACTATTGGTATTTGGTGTGCTTTGACATTCCTGTTTGCTCATGCAGGAAAAGGTATTTCAAGACAGAATGGGTGACTGTTTTGAGTGTTTGAGATTTTCTCCAACCTACCAGCTTATTTTCTCAAGCCAAAATGAAACTGGATGCCATCCATTCCTGTGGTGGGACTGCAATACGTGGTGGTTGAGATAAGCTGTGTAGACAGAGGACTCTCCATCCCAGGGTTGGTAGAAGTGGCCCACAGATCTGTTGAAACACCACCTCAAAAGCACCTGAGTGGCGGTATCCCCAGAGATACTTGTTGGGAAGTACGTCCCGGAGTTGGTTTCTTCCCTCTTCACTGACTTGGCTCTTAGTAATTGCCCCTTCTTCTACTAAACAAGATAAGGCAGATTAAATTTCTAACGCGATGGCACAAAGACCGTCCATTTATGGAGTTAGGCTTCTAGTAGCACATGGAGGACAGATCAGCCTCTCTGGGGATAGTCCCTTCACAGTGTGTCTCTTACCTTTTTGGAGTGAGTCCAGTAGACTTTGGGAAAACCCAGTATTCACAGAGTTTAGCTGTAACCCAATTCCTTTGTTGATTCTCCCCACCCCTGGATTTTTCTATCTGCCCATGGTTTAGGGCCATCATCCTTAACATGTAACGTTCACAAAGCACCTCTGAGAAAAATCTGTGAGCTCTGCTCAAAAATTTTGGGTTACTAGTTCTGGGAGGTACTTTGAACATTAAAACAAGCAATCCCACATGTGATTTCAGTGTTACATGAGAGTCACTGAGTAGAGAATCGGTCTTGGCACCATGGTGAAAGCCATAAAAGTCTTATTGCCACCAGCAAGGTGCTTCCTTGGGCCTAGAGCATGAGCTTGGCCAGCTTGCCGTCACTCTCGTTCAGCCAATGTTCTACAGTGTCACTTTGTCTTTAGGGTCTCTGTGTCATTCTTTCCTGAGAACATCCATGTTGTCTGTGTTGTGGCTTGGCTATGTGCTGCGAACATTGACTATGCACTGTGGCAGGAATGGCTGCATGTCATCACAGGAGACCTCTGCAGCAGCCGAGCCAGTGAGTGCTTGCAGTGGTTGCTGAGCTACAGCTTGAGTCAGGATGTGGCTTCAGGTCTGGCTTAGGTCCTGCCACAGGGTTGACCAAGCTCGTAATGTAGTCTCTGGTGAGGTGGTTCCCATGTGGTAAGCTCTGAACACAACAACATCTGAAGGTTATGGGCCCTGTTTGCTCTATGGAAGGGTAGAATAACCTCTCCCTCTTCACCTGAATGCTCATAATACCACCTCCGTGGATATTGGAAGGAGGTTTCCACCCCAGCCTCTCTGCGGCTGTGCACTAGGAACCCTGCACAGGATCACATAGCCTCCCTCACTGACTGACTGGAGGAAGGTTGGACTTAACAGAGTCTACTCTGAGGTGCAGATTCACATGTGGGTTTGGTAGATTGGCTGCTCAGAGGTCAGAATTGAGGTGAGTGGCCGTTGTGCTCAATGCACACTATTCTCTAGAGGAGGTGGTGCTTCAGTGAGGCAGCCCCTCTGGCCAGAGGCAGCATCTAGGAGGGGTCTCAGCTGTGAACCAGTGGCAGGCAGCCTTCTCTCTCACGTGGGGGAATTGGAATGACCATACTCCATCGGTGCAGACTGTAGCACGAAAGTCGGTGTGTGGTCTCCTGACTGGTGGTGCATGTTGCTGAGCTGTGCTCTGTTGGTGACTGGCCTCCTTTTCCCTCTTGCCATTCCCTAACCAGTGGTTGGAACAGGGAAGCTCAGCCACATGGAAGTCAGGGAGGGGACTTAGAGTGTTTTGAATTGGCATTGTCAGTCATTTGAGAGTTTAGTGGTAATCCTTAATTGGCTCTGCAGTGTTGTTTACGTTCTTATAGTTCAGCCTGGAAACAGGCTGGCCTCCAGATCTTACAAATGCCCAGCACAGTGCCTGACTGACTGTTGGTGTGGTAGCTCTAACAGTGCTGGCGGCCATTGCATCCTGGTAGGTTTCATCTCTGTTCCTCATGCGCCACAGCCAACCTTCCTGAGTGGCTAGGTGCCTGTTAGAGTTGGTGATGCTGCTTTGTGTGGTGTGTGGATCCTCCACTGTCTTGACTTAATCTCACTCTGTAGTCCTCTTGTTACTGCTGGGAATGTCTCCGCTTATGTGGGATAAGGTTCACCAACAGGCAAGCCTAAGAGTGGCTCAGAGGTCTATAGCATAGGAGAAAAAAGCTGCCATGTCCTCAAGGAAAGTGGTACCCAATCTCTGTATGCCTACACCAGGCTTGCATTGGGCCTCTGTGGAGAATTTCTTTATGTTCCTTGGGCATTTACCCCAGTGTGTTAGACAGGAAGCTTACATACCTTTAGTCTGGTGACTTGGCTGATCATTTGAGATCTTGATGCCTCCAGGCTGTGCTCATTCCAGAACTGAGGCTGGGATCAGGAGAACAGTGGGAGGATGGGTCATGCTTTAACAGAGGGACTGTCTTCCATATTAAGCATGGGAAATAGGCCAACGAAACAGGAATTTGATGGGAGACTGTGATTTCTGCCCAGAATAAAAGCAAAAGATGGCATCTCATGTTCATCTCAAGACTAATTTGTAATATGGCCTACCAGAAAGGAGCCCAGGGCTTGATAGAACATGTTTCACCCTATCTCACACTGTCTCCTCAGCCTCACCCTCCTTAGCTTTGGTTGTATGAGGAGAAAGGGACTTTTTCCTCTTGTTTCTCTACCATGTGGGTAAACTGGTCCTCTCTGCTTCTGCAGACACGCTAGTGTAGAAGAAAAGGCAGGAAAGCATCTGGGTGGCTTTATGAACGATAGTTTCCCACCTTACATGTTTGCCAGGTCACGGACTAGCAGTGACTTCCACAGGGGGTTGGGGTGTCTCTAGTGGCATCAGTGCTCTTCACTGATTAGTGAAGGTAGTCATTGTAGGCAAGGACCTTGCCTGACATGAGTCCCAGTGACTTTGTTTTCTTAGGCAGGACCTGTACTTCCCAATTATCCTTGCAGATTTGTTCCTGTTTTTCTCCATTACCAGCATCCTTCCACTGAGTGAACATTCTGTTCTTTCTTTGCCCACAGAGTGTCCTGGTCAGCGTCTTTTCCCGGGAGAGCCTTTTTGGCCTATATGCTTATTAGTAGCCTCTGTTTTTTTGGCCAAACACTGTTTCCTCCTAGGCTCCAGATGCTCCTTCAGTTGTGAGACCCCAAGATGAGTAACATGATTCTCAAGCTTTCTTTAGCCTCACTCTTGGAAGGCTTATGCTCCTCAATGTAGCGGACACTGTTTTCTGAAGTAGCCACCTTGAAGTGTGGAAACTTGTAGTGAGTGGTGAATTAGCAACTTGCCTCCAGCCAGCGAGGCAGTGATGTCAGCCAGAGCCTATTAAACATGAATTTCCCAAGCTTAGTCTGTTGGGACAAAGGGCACACTCTGCAGCTGAGAAGCACGACCACAGCAGTGGTTGGCAGGTGGACCTCAGGACATTTATGTCACACTTGGCCTTTCCTAGCCTCCCTTGGATTCCTTTGTGTGCCGGGATCCACATGACCTTATCTTTCAGCAGAAGCCCTTACCTCATCTCTGATTGCTTACCCTAGGGCAGGCGAGCTCTTGTTGCTGAGCATTGATAAACAACACTGGAGAGCTGCTTTGTTTGTACTGGCTAGCTCAGGTTAAGCAGGGTGAGATCCAAGAGCTTAGGAAACCTAGAGGAGAGATGAGCCTGCCCTCCAGCAGAGCAGCCTCCACCCTGTTCTTTCCCCACGAAAACATATTAGTGACCTGGTCAGCACTTCTCTAGTTGCCCCTCCCCTTTTCCCCGGGTATGTTGGGGAGGCTTGGTCAGCCTTCAGCCTTTGGGGATTGTGGCTTCCCTGGCCCAGGCTGGCTTTTTTGAGTATCTGCTGCCTCAGCAATCCTTACAAGTCAGGAGCTTTCTGTCATGCCTTTGCACCCATTCCTGTAGCATCTGTGCTTCTCCTTCTGCAACATCGTGAGAAATAGTCATGTGGATTTCATAGTGACTGAAAGGAGGGTAGATGTGGGAGCCACAAACTCCACTGCTTCAGATTCTCTCTGAAACAGCCTCCACTCTGGTCACCACAACACTGACCAGGAATGGAAAGGCCTGCAAGCACAGGCTGCTGTCAGCCTCATCCTCACCTCTTCCTTCTTTCTCCACAGAATGAGATGGATGAGGTGCCCTTCTTTGATGTCCAGCTGCCTTACGAACTGGCGATCAATATATTTCAGTATCTGAACAGAAGAGAGCTGGGTCGCTGTGCTCAGGTAAGTGCTTGCAGACACATGTCCAAGGGTCCCCGGCTCTGACCAGGTGCAGGGAGCTCCCACAAACAGTTGAGTCTATAGAATCACACAAGTGACAGAACTGATGAATTGCACAGCAGCTTTCCTAAAGGAAGGCTGCCTTGAACTTACATTCCCACATGATGTATACCTTCTAGTTACTGACTTCTGCACCAAGTCTGAGTTATGGCTGAAATCCTGGGCTCTGCCTGCAGTGAGCTAGCCCGTGTTAATATATTACACATGTTAGTACAAAGATGTAGCCCTTAAATCAGACTGGTCATTACGGTGGTAGCTGAGGGTCAGCCCAGGGACAGATTGGTGAAGTCATGTTTTAGACAAATAGTCTAAATTACCCTTTAAATAGCAAAATCACACTCTGAGGTGAATGAGGAGGGGGGTATGTTGAGGGTACTGCACAGGAGTGGTAGTCATGCCATGCTTACTGTGATGCATATGTCCATGGAGCGGAACATCTGTTTTTCTAGCTTGGTTGCTTTTAGGGGTGTTGCGGGCATCCTTCCCTAGGAGACATAAACAGATATCTCTCTACTTCTATAAGATACTGATGACAAACCAAAGAACAGTTCCACTAAAGTGTTACCTGGGGAGCCAGAGAGACTATTGGGCTTCCTTACAGAGCATGGGTGAGGAGAAACCTATAAAGTAGAGATGACCCCAAAGCAGCCACACCCAAAAAGCCTCACCTCAGCATGGATATGCACCCCAGCTGCATAGGTGGAGTCCCCCCTTCAGTTAACCTCCCACAGTTAATACTCCAGGTCTCTGGAGACTCCGGTTTGGGCAGAATTACATACTCATGGCCGGGAGGTGCTGGGGAAGTAGGACCCTCCAGTGAGGGTCTAGTGACCATCTCCACTTCCCTCACTGTCTCTGAAGGAAGTCAGCAGGCCAAATCAAGCTTCTGCAAGTGGTCACAGCAGCTTTGATTATGGTGACAGTTGTCAGCTCAGTGTATAGCGTTCTGCAATAAGATCCCATGGAGGTCTGGGTAGGCCACATTTCTGACCAGGTGTGCACTGGGGAGGCCAGGGTTTATACCCTTAAGATTGCTCTCATCTTTTTGGCCACAAGCATATAATTAAATTACTTTTTCTCCTTTTAGTTTTATTTGTTCAGTTGTCAAAATTTGTATGTCCATTAAAACTGAATAATTGCTCAAGGCCATGACTTTGACTAGTAGTACCACTGCCAGAAAGAAAAACAAAGTTGCATTTGCCTAATGATATAACTAGCTTAGCCTGAGGCCCTGGGTTTAAACCCATCAGTGAAAAAATAAAAATGATTCATTGGGAATGTGTAAATGTGGTCAACATGGCTAGTGTGAAAGTCAGAAGTTGTGTCATCATCTCAGTAGACATAGAAAAAGTACTTTGTACAGTCCCACATCCGGCATCCTTGCTCACAGGCAGCTGCATACATAGGCTGATGCAGTCCCTGGGTGTAAAAGGAACTTTTATTCACCTGTTTCAATTGTTTATTGCCTCTCTGTGTTAACCTAGGCCTAGTCCTGGAAGCTTCTAGCGTCCATGCAATCTAACCTAGGCCTAGAACCTTTTCAGCCTTTGAGACTTACTGCTGAATAAGTTCACCCTTTCTTCTTCTCACTGAACTCTGGGCTAGTTGATTCAACTCAGCTGTTCTGGCTCAAACTCCAATCTGGCATCTCTCTTGGCCTCTCTTGCTCCTCAAACTATCTCCAGCAACCTACTGTAGTCTCCTGGCTCCTTCTCATTTTCAGGCACATTCAGTCTTCACCTGAGTTCTGTCTCTGCACCCTGTGTCTGTATTACTGCCCCAGTAAAACTGCCTCCTCTCTTTGCATTGCCCCTTAGGTATCTTCCCTTTCCTCTCTCCTGTGAGAGTTGGCTGTGTCCTATTCTGTTAGATCTTTTCTGATCTGTCACTTTCTTTATCTGCTGCTCAATTAGACATTACTTTCCTTGGGTTCGGCTTTCTGTGAACTATCTGCTTTGATGCTTACTTGGAGATGCTGAGTGTCTTTGGTATGTGATCGCTTAAGTAGAGATGCCAGCACACATTCTTGATGCAGTGTGTCTATAGGAAATGATGAAATCAGTGCAACACTGAAACTCGCTCTGAAACCCGTGCCACAGTGTAAAAGGCACTCGGAGCTGTGAGTTGCATGAAGAGTACTTATGTTGTCAGCTCCCTCCTGGAAATTTGGTTTGTTGTTTTCCAGCTCACACGTTGGCTCTGCTCCCGGGAGTAGAGGATGAGGGCAGAGCTAGATCAGCCTGATGCCAGGGTGGGAGCCTTGGAACGTCTTTTGCCAGCTCCGCCCAGCACAGTCGGCTCTAGATGCTCTGATTTACTTTTTGGTACTGGGCTCTTCTTAAAGGAACATTGATTATTTTGCTCTCTCATTTTGTGGTGAGCCATGTGGATCAACGAGTTTATCGGGGCGTGTTAGGGTCAGGTGGGAGAGGTCCCTGTGATACAGTAGGGTTGTACTGCAGGAGAGATGGGCTCTGCTGAGTGATTATCCTGCAGGTGTGAACTGTTTAATTCATAGCACACCTCTCTACATCTCACTAGAATGCTGCCCTGTATGTCCAGTTGGCTTCTGTGTGACTGTGTGTGTGTGTGTGTGTGTGTGTGTGTAACCTACTTTTGAGAACGCGTGTAAGCATGGAAACTATTCTCAAGCAGAGCTTCTTCAGTGCACAGTGATGGAGTTGGCTATGATGGGAAGCAGGGCTCTCACTGAGTCTTTACATGAAGACAAGAGTAGATGGCCAGCAGTCAGTAGGATTGGCTTGGTTTCTGTCATCGTTAAAATGAACTACAAAGTAATAAATATAAGTGGTGTTTTCATTTGTTCTTGTGGCATGTTTGTTTTTGCAGCAGGAAGAAAGTCTTTCTGTTGAATGGAGACCTGCTGCTTTATGGGCTCCCTCTGCTCGGTTTCTTTCTCTCTAGGTGCTTTGGGACTTAGTGAAGTGGGGCAGGTTTGTGGAATTGGACCCTAGTTTTGTACTCTTGGATAAACCTATTGCTTAGTTCTTTATGCCAAGCTGCTCTCGTACTAGCAGCAAGGAGGCCTGTCCAGGGAAGCTTCAGAGATGTCCTTTTTCACCATTCTGCTGAGGCTTTGCCTCCTACATCGCTCTGCTTTATGGGCCACAGTGCTTCTCCTTAGCGGGTACCCTGCGTACTGATGTACCCCCTGCCCTTGCCAGCAGCTGACCCCTATGCACTATGTGGCGACTGTGTGCCTCTGCTGGAGGGCTTCATTCAGAATGTCATGAAAACAGCAGGACTTTTAGGAAGCACATTACCAGTTTGACAGCTCTAACATTTTGCTCTTTATGATTTTGTGTCCATCCTTTTTCATGCCCACAGGGGCCCTAGTGTTTTAAAGGGTAATAGTTTACCATGCATATTGAGAAGATTACTAATTTTAGAATTACAAAATTGTTTGGTTTCTATGAGAAAACTAAGTGTTGTTATATTGCAACATGAATACTTCTGAAGAGGGATCCTTTCTGGTATTTACCAACCTCCCTCCCCCTGAGACAGAGTTTCTTCCTGGCTTGGACTCAAACTCAAGAGATCTGCCTGCCTCCTGAGTGATGGGATAAAAGGCGTGCGCTACCATGTCCAATTCCAGCATTGTTTTTAGTTTTCTAGATTGATTTATTCTGTGTGTGTGAGTGTCCTGGCTGCATGCTTCCACATGCACCACTTGCATGTTTGGCACCTGCAGAGATCAGAGTTATCAAATTTCCTGAAACTGGACTACAGATGGTTGTGAGCTATCATGTGTGCACTTGGGACAGAGACCAGGTCCTCTTCAAGACCAACTACTGCTTCCAATTGCTGAGCCATCTCTCTAGCCCCCTCCAACATTCTTTTTAAAAATTTGAAAGTAATTATAAATCCACAGGAAGCTTCAGACAGGCATGCAGGCAGGTGGTGTGTGTCTTTGTACCTGTTTCTTCCTTTGATGATACCTCATGTGCCCAGCAGCCATGGCATCAAAAACACTGATGTCCATCCACTCTGTGGTGCCTGCTCAGGTTCCACTGGTTTTCTATGCGCCGATCTGTCTATTTAACTCTGTCCTGTCTTATCGTAGATAGAGATCTGTGTGCTCACCACCACTGTCAACAGCATAGGTATCTCTTGGACCCTTCATGACTACCACCCTCATCTGTGTCTCCTGTAGTCCAGGCAGCCTCAGGTAGCCTTTGGTCAAAGAAATATGTGTTGTAACTATGTATATTTCTTAGTGTGTAGTTTTAGGAGAGCTGCATATGCAGGAATGTCACCATTTTCAAGTAAAGGGCAGGAGGTTGCACATGGAGATCTAAAACATGGTGGTGCATACCTGTAACCCCAGCACTCAGGAGGCTGAGGCCGGAAGACTGAGTAGGTTGAAGACCAGACTGGGCTACATAGTAAGACTCGGTCTTAAAACTGTCAAAGAAAAGGGGGCTGCATCAGTGACCCGATGCAGAGTGTGGTACAACCAGTGAACAATAAGCAGGCAGGACCAAAACAAGTAATTCTAGAGCAGAAGCCCAGGCTGTCAAGAGTCAGGCTGTCAGTTTTTATGGACATGTAATGCCATGAACTGGCCAGATGTCCACCTCAGGAAGCTAACATTGGCTTGTTAAAAGAGCAGCTCTGATTTTGAAGTCTCTGCAAGTCACAGATCCATTTTCAAGTAAGGCAGTGCTGACTCTCACGCCATGATGCTATGGGCTTTAGTTCCCAGCAGCTCTTCAGTCTGACCTTCCATGTGGTTGTCAGATCCATCAGGGCCTTATGGAAGGGTCTTTGTGCATAAGCACCCTCAGGAGCCACTCTAATCCCCAGCCTCTGTGGCTGTCTTCTTTACACGGGTTTAGAGAAAAGCAGAGCCACTGTAGGAGGGTCCTGAATCATAAGAAACAGTCGGTGGACTGAGCAGTGGCTACTGGAAGGCCTTTATA